GAAAAATACCGAAATCCAAACACCAAATGGGAATCCTTTTCATCCAACAGACAAAGGCACCACACTTCCATCCCTACCCTATAGTTTTAGGAGAAAGGATTATGTGCATCAGTATTAAAAACACTCTTGCTGATATCTCATTTAACTGAGATTCTGAAGAATACATTTTCAGTCCAATATCTCCAGGCTTTGATAGGATTTATCCTTCTTGTTTATATTGCTGAATTGCATAGCCATTTTAAATGAAACAAAATGAATTTTACTTCCCTCCAGGAAGAATCATTGGCTGAGACAGACTGAAGGAGCAGATAAGACTTTCACTGTCTTTTCAACAGGACTTGGAGTGTTACCTCTCCTAAGAGGAACAGGTATAAAGTCACACTGTTGGCTCTGCACAAGAAAATAAACCTGATCTTGGAGATTTTCCATAGACTTTAACCATGTCTGGATTGTTTGTGTTAGAAGAGCTTCAGTGATTGGAGCACTACTATATTATAACTGTAGTATTTTAATTGGAAAGTTTCAGTTTCGTGACTAAATAAGGGCAGCTCTTTCCTTCTGAATAAAAAAAAATTGCATGCAAAAGAAAGAGTACCTGCCCATCACTCCTTATTCAATTAAAAATATCCCAAACTTGCCAAAATAAGAGAGATACTATGATAGTATCAAACTAGTCCCTTTTACATTGCATCTGAAAAATCCTGTCCCACTGGAGCAAGCTGGTGACTGGATGACAACATTTATCCTTCCATTAATTCTGCTCAAAGGAGTAGACACTGAGTAGATACCAAATCCAGAGGTTTTCCCCAAGAAACTCTGAAATCAAGTATTATTTGTGTTCAAGTCCCTCAACCTGATAGAAAATGTTGAGTGCTGCAGTGTTAAAAAAATGCCTTTGCAAGTGAAATGTCCATTTACATTCACAGAAATGTTTTTCAGCTACTGCCCTAAGCCATCCATTTCAATTGCCTGGACAGATCACAGCAGCAATATTAACTAAGAAGAGCCAAGTCCATCACTGCAAGGCAGATGAGTGTGATTTCCCAGCAGGAGGACTGCTCCCAACAATCAGCTCCTTCCCAGCCAGCAGTGGGCATGGGGTCACTCCAGAGAGCTGCACTCACTGAGTCAGAGTGATCTGGAACCACACCATGAACAGAACACGACCCAAAATGCAATTTGATAACAAAAAGTGTTAACAAACTCCATCTTTAGAGAGAAGCACCAAAATCCCAGGAGTGAATTCTGTGCTCCTGGCTGAGGCTGAGGTTTGGTGAAGCTGCCAGCAGAGTTCCCCAAAGCAGATCTCCGGCTGCCCACCAGCATCTGCCATCCAAACACACAAATCATTCTACCAAACTCCACCAGCAGGCCTTGGCTGGGCTCCTCATGCCCTCAGTCAGGCTCCTTGTGCTCTTTTTGTGAAGAATCCCACAGCTTGCTCCTGGCTCTCTCTGGACCTTCACACAAAAGTTGCCTCCTGACTCTCATTTGCTTCTCATCTGGAGCTGGGGCTGGAAAAATCAACACATTGCTCCTTCCTGGGGTTAAATTTTGTCATAATTACATTTAATTAAATGCCTACACTGAGATCAATCTGTTGATAGCTTCCAAGACTGAAATCTTTCAAATTTTATTTCCTTGATAACTGCATTTTTTTGCATGAAGCAAATGAAGCAAACAAAGAAACCCAACATCACCACCAACAAAAATAAAGCTCTTAAGCACACAGAGTTAACAGTCTAAATGACAAAGATGAAATCCAGCTGAATGGTCTGCCACAAGTATCTCTGGGTTAGATACCATGTACAAACATCACTGACTTCTGGCACTTCTCTTCCCACCTTTTTTCCATCATGGGTCATAGCAAAGCCATGCCTTGACCTTTTTGAAATTCATGGTGAGGAAGAAAGGAACAAAAACCAACAAAACATCCCAAGTCCTGGAAAATACCCTAAAACCTGAAAAATACTGCAAAAAGAGAGATGGCATTTTGCAGTTTACAGTCACAAGTGTATCTCTAGAAATTGTTTACACTGATGGCACGAGAACAACAGAAGTTAAACATGCTGTAAGTATGCCAAAGCTAAATGACTCTCTCTTTTCCATCTCCAGATGGCTGCTTGCTAGAGCCTAAGGAAATGAGAAAGGGGACAATGAAAGTGCTAAACTCATAAAAACTGGAAGTCTCTAAAGGAACACATTTTGAGAAATAGTCTCTGTGATTTGCCACTTCCTTCCTCAGCCAGCTCTCTCCAGCCTAACAAGCCTTGACATGATCTGTTCAAGCTCATGGACAGGTGTCCCCTAATCCCCACACACAGTGCAAAATCCCCCCAAAAAATCCAGGGAACAAAGGAGAGAAGGAAGGAAAAGAAGTGTGGGTCCCCACTGGCTGTTACAAAACATCCTTCTTTTCTGCTCCAGGTAACCTGGTCTAAAAACCATTTACATGTCCAAGTTTTTAACCCTACAGCTGAAGTTTCCTGAGAAAGGGACTTCAAGTGGAAAAACAGTTGCTGTAAAATATCTTCTCCCCTGTCCCCCACCAAATCAGGGTACTACACATCAAACCTGCACACTGCAGTGATAGGAGTGTGAATTTATACCTTTGAACTCCTCACAGCACTACAAATCACAGCAGATATGGAGAAAGGAGAATGGGAACTTTGGAGTGTCTCAAATGGTTATTTAACACCAACTTTGAAGTCTGCCACCCTCAGAGTAACCCATTCCAGCTGAAATCCACCCATGCACACTGAGGAGACACCTGTGCAGTGGAAAGCAGTGTCTGAGCAGCAGAACCTTTCTGCTTCTGCCATCACCAGTGATATTTCAGATCAGCCTAACTGGCATTAACAAAAAGATCATTTCATTTGGAAATTCAGAAAATCTCCTCTTGAAATGGAGAGGTAACAAACACAAAACTGCCCAGAGTGATTTTCAGAATGATTTTTCTTTCTTCACTCCAAATGAATCGAAGTTTGATCTTCTGATCCAAGAATTCTGTGTAGGATCCAAATTAGAAATGGCTACAGCTTAAAGAGCATTTAGCTGAGACCATTCATTAGTGCATGGATGATTTTTGCTTCAGGAATAAGATGCTAAAAAGAGCAATTAAAAGAAAGAAAATACTCCTGGTGCAAGTATGTCTAATTCTGTCCTGAACTGACACTGGAGCATTCCTAGCAAAGCCATCTCTTCCTGTTCTCTGAAGAGCAGGCCAGAGGCACAGCCTCAAAGCAGTGGGAATCTCTTTTTATGGTGTATTTAACTGGCAGCTCAAACTTCTTTTTCCTGCAAGCGCAATGATTTAAACGCAACAAAACCCAATCCGAAGAACTAAACTAAAATGAAAGGGTATACAACTCTAATTCTGTTTATCAGACCTCAAGTGCCCTTTCCACCAACTGCATGCATGATCCTCATTTCTGAGTAATAATTTCATATTGTTTCAGGCTGTATTTGTGTGTCAAATTGTTTTTAAAGCTCGGATTTGTTTTTCCTGAAGAGCTGGGGTGCCAGTTAGCACAGAGCATAAATAATGCTCAGCTTTCCAGCAGCATTGTGAAATGCAAGGAGTGTGAAGGAAACAGGAACTGCAGCTGTGCCAGCCCCACAGCCCCAGTAACCCTAAACTTGAGTCCATTGGGGTGATCTGTTTGCTGACCCACAGTCCATAAAAAGGCTCTGTTTTGAGTTCAGGGCTGTTTACTACTGCTGCTGTTTAATGCCCTGGGAGAGGAGAAAGAGGAATTCATCTCCAGGCAGCACCAGGACAGGTTTATGCCCCACGTGGGGACAAGCCCAGCCCATAAAACAGGTGATGAAAGGAGCAGAATGTGCCAGCCAGCAGATCTGTGTGCTGCTGGGTGGCACCACAGGCTGCCCACAAAGTCCCCTCCTCTTAGGGCAATCAATACTAGGAGAGAATATATAAAGTACAATATTTATATATTACTGTGTTTTACATTGTCTAGCTATCTCTCTGTAGCTGTCTGATTAATCCCATGAATTTAACTCTTTTGTTTTCTATTTTGTCAATTTAATACGTTAACTACAGACATATATCTAGGTTTGGTGGTGGGTTTTTTGCTGCTGTCATCTTTGGGGGTAGGTTGTTTAGGTTTCCTTTTTCCTTTATTTTCCCTTTGTAATTCAACCTATGAAGGTATCTTGTAAGCCTTTTCCCTGCTACTTTTCCCAGCTTCTCATCCCTTTCAAACCTGAAACTTTTTCATATATCTCCAGCTCTGGGAAAGTTACAGACTGACAAAGGAACAAGAGCTTTCCCCTTCATGCCTTTCTAAAACACATTTATCAGCAATTTGAGTGGTTTGGGTTTATTTTAAACAAAGAAAGATAAAAATTAAAAGTAACACCCCCCCCAGGAAACTAATACAGAAAATGTTTGGTTTTGTTTGTTTGGCTTTTCTTGGTTTTCTTTAGGCCAGAAAGCTGTTGTTCTAAAAGTTAAGTGTGCATCCAGCAACGTGGCAAAAGCAAAAGAGATTCTGATATGGAAATATGGATTAATACTGACTATAAAAACTGATATTCTTCCTGTTTCCTCTCCATTACATTTACAGTAAAAACTTCAGTCGGTATTGCAATCACTATACATCAATATTTGGAATATTGCTTTGTTGCTAAAATCTTCAAACATATGCCCTACAATTAATTTGTAATGACAATATGTATTGAAATATTAAAGTTATTCTTGGATATGTCAGACATGCATTTATCTCCAAATAGCTGGGATGTAATTAAGCTGAAGTTATTTACACATAACAGAAAGCAGAGCTATGTGGGAGTCAGAACCCCCGTTAATGGGACAGACAGTAAGTCTCTGTCTTTGCTCATATCATATATCATATCATATATTTGGTCACATCTTTGCTCCATCTTGAAATTATTCAGTAAGTTCCTACAAAACAACTTTTTTGTTGACCATGAAAATTGTTTTAAAGCAAGAAAACAGAATGCTGGAACTTTATCTTTAATCACTGCTACAGACCACAAAATCCACATCATGACCCACATCATGAAACATCATGAAAGGCAACACAATCCCATGGAACTTCTCTGTTCCAGAAAAGAAAAAAAGAGAAGAAAAAAGGGAAATTTTTGGAGAACATTCACTGGCACACTTCCAGCCAGCTCTCACTGCATAAAGTGATGTATACCTTGACAGTGGTAGTAAAGATACAGTTGTGCTCTAAACATCTCTTTTCTCCTCAGGGTGATGTTGCCTCATTGCTATACAGAGTAAAAGAAATGACAGCAGCAAGTTTAGCTCGTGGAAATGCAAGTGTGTATTTCAGTTTAGAGTCTGAAGGGTGATGGGGAAAAAGCTGATAAAATACAGAAGGGAGAAAAACCAGCTGACAAATCAGAAAGGTCTTTTCACTCAACACAGCATCTACACCAGCATCTCAGAATGCTGCTGAACCACCAGAAGGATGTGAAGACACCTCTTTTCACCATTACAGCAAATTTTTACTTCTAACTTTACCTTTCTACAACATCCTCTCCATTCCAGCAGGTTGAGCTGTCTCTCATCACCAGGTCTCCATCACAAAGCCTTTCTGCTATAGAGGCATAAAAGGTTCGGGATCGCTTCATGTAATTGATGAACTCTCTGCAATGCAGGAAGAACACATTTAACACCACAACAGTAAACCCAGCAGTTACACCCCCTGCCAGCCTCACCCTCCACCACATCAAGACTTCAGAAAATAAGTCATCTGAATTAATTTCTATCTCTAGTGTATTTTTTACTCCTTATGGATCATCCAATTTTACCCAGTCCAGTGTCAATACACATAATTACACACATAAAGGGTGCTTTTTACACGCTGTGTTAACATGTCTCTCACTAAATCTGAAAAAAGGCTACACCTACACTTTATAAACAGATCAAAAAACATCATCATAAAAGGCATGGCCAGTACAGACAGTGTATTTCTGATGACTGTGTATAGAAAAATGCCTTGAGGGCAAACTGTTGCTTCTTTTCTGATCTGATTATATCTATAATATATACCCAGTTGAGGTAGCTACCAAAACAAACTGACAAAACCAGTGTTAATTCAGCACACAACTGAGAGGATTTCAGGATGAGAAATCACCCACTGCACTGCCTCAGAAGCTCCTGTTTGGTGTCAGAGCTGTGCAGAACAGGATTCAGGACACAGACTGAGCTGTCACTCAGCTCTGTGCTTGGCTCAGAACTCCACGGGAATTCCTTGTGGTGTGCAGTGCTCCAGCCTGGCAGGCACTGGAGGTGCCTGGGGTACAGCTGGATGGAGCTGGGCACAAACCAGGCAAAATTTCTCTCCTTAGCACCAACAGGTGCTTCAAACAACATCCAGTTCCACTGGGAAATACCTTATCCCTGCGAGAGCAAGGCAGTGGTCATCTCTCCCAACACCTCTCTTTATGCTTCATTTATCATTTCTGATAAGTGCTTAACCATCCCTTTTACCTTCTGTGATGAAATCCTGCTCTAGATACATCAGTCATCACAGGCTCCTAAGAAACTAACTTAACCTAACAGAGCAGGAAAGCTAGGAATTAAAGCTAAGACCAAAGCAGGAATTTGGGGGCTTACAAAGAGGTAATCAGCATTTCTACCTCTTGAGTACCACCTCACAAATACGAGCTCTGAGTATTTCTAGAGTAAAGCCAGGCCCAGCCAGAGGCTGCCTGGCAGAACAACCTAAGAGGATCCAAAAGGAAACGCAGATGCCAGAGATTTCACAGGCTCTAAGTCCGAGTCTTCTTTGAAGGAGGAGACCAGCACCCTTCTAAGAGCCTAAAGCTTGCCTTCCTCAGCTCACCCCAGAGGTTTAAACTCCTTTGCATTCTCAGCAGAGTAGTGCTCTGACATTCCAAAGCAGTATCTCAGCAAATGCAGAATTCTGTGTCTGCCTCTCAGTCTTACTGAGTGAAAATATTTGCTTTTCATCGCTATAAAACTAAACACACCAGGGGAGAAAATGGAGAGTTTCCCAGTGCCCTACAATGCAAAAACAGCAATCAAAAGTTTTCCAGCTCCTAGATTACAGCTGGCAATGAGCTACGTGTAGAGACAGCAAAGGATGTCACCTTGTTTTCATTCTTACCGAGAGATTTTTTTCAAACTTCTTGATTTGTCATTCTTTGAAGCTTTCAGAGGCAGAGAACTGCAATAGGCCGGGGAGAATAAGCATCAATCAGGAGAGGTTGGGGAGTAGGGAAGAAGCAGGAATTCAGGCAAATGAGGAAAAGAAATGAGAAACAAAAGAGAAAAGTAAAAATTATTTGAAAGAAAGGTCATCAAGCACGTGCATAGGACAATACAAGAAAATAAATAAGGAGGAAAATTATCATGAGATTTTTGCAAAGTATACATGCAATCAAAAATGTCAATTCAATACTGGAAAAAAGTACAACTGAGACTGTTTGTCCCAATCATTTTCAAGTAAGAGCAGAATTGCAAATGCAGCACACACGGCAGAAAGCTGAAAATAAATTCAGTGGTACTTAAATTAAGTGTAACTGATACCAAATGGAAGAACTGTAAATACACGAAGCTCTACAAGAAAACAATGGCAAACAGTTTAGAATGAGAACCACGGGGAGGGGAATACAAACCAATAGCATTCATGTCCTGGTACAATGAGCAATTTACTGCCTGTTAATAAATAATATAAGTACAGGTATTTTTATTTTTTTTTTTGCTGTGCTGGGATTGTACCACTGAAAAAACCCTCAATTTTGCAAAACTGGAGATACAGACTTTCAGACTATAGTGGAGGAAGAACTGTGGAAATAACCCTGGTGATTATTTAGTGCTCTCAGTGGAGAGAGCAAGCACCACCTTCAGCAGCTGATGGCAGGAGGGACCTGCACTGCCCATCAGGGGAGGGGCACCTGCCTGCAGGAATTCCAACACAGCCACTCAAAAAAACAAATGGAAATTTCTAACAGGGAAAATCTGGATCAGCTGAAACTTCAGCCCTGGCCAGTGGTTCATGTGCATCTGACATTAATAATCTGGTTTATACTAGCACTTTATTACTCAAATATTAATAAAATCATGTGATGTCTGACCCAATAGATAGTTTGTTTTAAATGAAATAGGTATCATTGACTTCAAACATTCCCAAAAGAATTCCTAAGTTGTTGATTTTAAGATGAATAAAAGATCTGTAAATTCCTGGCATAATAAAGAAATCCCAACAAAATATAATTTCAAAGTCTTCCTGCTCCAATCAGGGACCTAATATGTTACAGTTCTTTGTTAAAGATATTTTATTTACAGCTCTGTAACCAGTCTGGTTTAGTGGTTTGAAATGCTCCATGGAGCAGAGATGCTAAAAGGCAGGTATTCAACTTTGCTGGGACACCAGACCCTGAGCAGAACAGTTCTTTGTGCTGAACTCAGCAATAACATTCCAATTTACTGAGATTCTGTACATGCCATTTGCATTCCCTGCACCATCGTATGCTTTCAATTTTCTTGTCATCTCTATTACATGTTATAGTAACCTCCACATGAAAAAATGACTGCAGCAGCAATGCTGCCAGTTTCAGTTAATCCCTAACTATGACTGTGTGATGGTAAAAAAAATAATAATAATCAATTTTATGCTTTCCAGTTTAATCGTAGGAAATGATTTCTTGCAAGATCATGCAACATGTATTCAAGTTTCAGCTTCTTTAATTATTGTCCCTGACACTTAAGTGATGCATAACAAAAAATATGCAGGAATGGAATGCAGAGTAAAATCAAGAGAGATGGGAAATCTCCCAGGAACTCATGCGAGTAAGAGAAGAAAAGCGTTCAACTACTGCAAGGGAGGTTCCAGTTGCTCTGTGCATCTGGGGACTTTGCAGATCTGCCTGTGCAGAAGAGTGAAGGGTGAGGAGGGCTGGCTCCAGCCAGAGCCCAAACACCTCCCCCCTGAAGAACCAGCTGGGGCCAAGGGACACCATTTAACAACCCCCCTCATCCTGCACCAGCAGCCCTGGCTCTGCTCCACAGCTCAAACCAGAGGTTCCCCAGCTCCTCGGAAAGGAGCCCGATTTTTTATGTGGCCTAGCAGAGACTCAGCACCTCTGGATAAACATCCATCTGGCACTGGGGTGTAAAGGGCATCTCTGAGCAGGCTGTACACAAGAGAGCAGAGGACACTTGATTGTGGTTTCTCCTCCAGATGTGCCAACCACAGAGGTTCTTCCCTTTGAGCTCAGGAATGCTCTGACACACAAGGGAACAAGCCACAGCTTTTCTGTTTACTTGGAGAGTGTTGGCTCATTCCTTCTCTTTTTCCTTCCTTACCCTAAAAGGCTGGAGGCATGTTCCATACAGCCCTTGAATTAAAGGATCATTTGGAAGGATGTCCATTAGACTTCCAGACAGACCCAGGGTGACCTTGCACCTGAACTGACAGCAGCTGACATTGCTCTCCATTTCTTAAAAGCACCAGAAGGACGGGCTTCTCAAAAGATTCATGTAATTACTCTCATCATCTGGCCCCCCTGCAGCAATTTTCTGTCACTCTAAGTGCATTTTACACAACCCACTGCAGAAATTATTTCACCCTTGTATTATAGATTTTTATTACCTTCCATTATTTTTTATTGATATCATATGTGATTAAATGATGGTGAATGAACAACACAATGATGCAGCCAATCACTGTGTCTTTCACTCTGTGGTTTCACCATTGTTTCCAAGAAGCAGAAGTACAAGCTTCAGGCCATGTGTTTTATAGGAAGTTGTGGAGAATAGCTTCAAACTTTCCACTTCTTACTATTTATGGCATATTTCCATCATTCATTTTTGGTGCACAGGCTCTCCACAATACCCATCAACACTGTAATTCAGTAATTTTTCATGCTAATTATATAAGCAGGGACTTAGTTTAGTTTATATAATTAATTTTCAGTGTGCAGACCAATTCTGGCAAACTGTCTAATTTACAGTGCATTAGTTCATTTTCTTTTCCATCCACAAGCCTTACATTTTAAAAGGTCAATATCCAAATAATTCTAGATGGTTGGGAAGGGGAGGAAGCAGATCCTCAGGTACGAAAGAACAATTTTCATGCCATTGAAGACACAAACCTGCAACATTTTAAGAGATCACCTGTTGATGGGTTGGCAATTCTGACTTTTGATCTGCCAGTGTTAAACCCCAGCCAAGTCAATGAGTTACACAGAAGATGGTCCAGGGCTCTGTGCTGCTAAAAGCCTATTTCAATAAATGTACTACAACTGTTCTTTAGATTTTTACTGCTGAAGTTATTAATTTAATTTCTGTAATGCTCCTTTTTTCTGATTTGCTTGGTAAAAACTGATTAACTCCAAGTGCTAGCACAAACTGTTATGGTTTGCTTTTAAATACAAAAGGATAAAAAAATTACCACTATCACTCAAAAAACATCTCTTGCTGTTATTACTTTTATCTTTTAAAACAGTGATTTTTTTTCCATTCATGCAAGCTGAGAATTAAAACAGAAATGGATAAAAATCTCATGTTCACAACTGAAACACCAGAACCCAGGCTGTGGGAATTTTAACACTGCTGTCATCCACTCATCCAACAGACAGAGGAACTCATGGACTGCCTGGGCAGTTTAGATGCTGCTTTTGGACACAGGTAAGCCCAGCACGACCCCACTGATGTGGCTTGGTCCAGATTAACTCTGTTCTTACAGAACACATTGTGCCAGCCAGAAACAGGCACTGGGATTGTGTGGGCAGTTTGCTCAGACATGTACTCATGTATCGTGAGGGGGATTGCAGAAAAATCCTTTCCTAGAATGTACAGAAAGCCAATTCAGGAGCTACACAAGGCAGAGTGACAGAGAAGGTCAGGGGATGTGGGAGCAGGGATACTCCTGTCCAGGCCAGTGGCAGAACTCAGCTGCAGGTGTCTCAGTGGGGCATAGCTGAAGAGGAGCCAAGATGGACACAACAAGCCTAAAAAAACTCTTTCAGCTCCTTCTCTGTTATGTAATAAAACAAGGAGATTCCAAAGGAATCTGCCCAGTCCAGTGGAATCAGGGATTGACTTGGTGTCAGGGCAATCAATCTTTCCTTTTCATCCCATCCTCCTTCCCACTTCTGCCCCTGGACAAGCTCATGTCCTTACAGACCTGGAAAGTTACATTTTAAATAATTTACACTCAGCTGTGGAAATCAGTTTCCTCAGACTTTGTCAAGGAAAAGCTTTCCCCATTTTCACTGGAAGATTGTGGAATTAATGAACACCTTGGTTTGAAGCAATGATGTCAAGTCTGGCCTTTCTTGGCTATGATGCCACAGGGTCACCTGTGATGCTCTCCAGTGATGGCTGGAGAGCACACAGAGAAGGTGACAGAGCTGTGGCTTTGGTTTATACAGTGCAAAGAACCAACAACACAGATTATGAGGCTGAAGGTTTGTTTCAAAGCAGCTGCCAGCCTAGGGTTACCTTCTTTTATTGTTCAGGCTGGTGTGAGCCATCACAAATGTCTGGGTTTCGGTCACTTCCTTCACTGGCACAATATTGGCTGATGACAGGTTCCCTTCTTGCTGCTTGGGCTGGCCACACACTTTATCAACCTGGAAGAAAGGGAGAGAAAGGAAACCAGGATGTAAATGGAGAAATAGATTTACAACCCCACAAAAGTCTGCCTGTGCCTTGCAGCCCGTGCTCACTGCACGAGACACTGTCTGGGGGAGGGAAAGGAAGGATAGAAAGAAGTCTTCCTTCAAGCAGCTGCAAACAAATGCCTGGCAAAGGAAGGACCAAATTCCAAGGCAGGGTAATGAACACCAGAAAGTGAGCAGTCATGGATTTCTCAGTGGCTACCTGACTACAGCACACTTGGAAAGAGGCTGAGGTCGTGACTGATGAGCTTTTATTTAGAAAATAAAAAAATTTAGAAATAAACTTTTATTTAGAAACATACCTGGAGTTTAAATGTACACAGATATTGGTGAAACATCTGCCCCATGCAAAAAGAGCAGAGTCTATCAGGAGTTTGAAGGGGTTTGTAATCAGAAGATAACCAATTATTCCAGGCTTTAACCAGGCCATGTAATTTCACTTGGTCCTTGCTGCCCTTCCTGAAGCCTCTCACAGGGATTTAGTATCAGTCCAGGAGAAAGCAAGCTTGTGTTTATCCTTTCTGCACCCTGGATCTGACACTGCTCGTGTATCCTCACACATTTATTTGCTGTAACAGCTTTAAGTGACAATAGGAAGACAAGTCTCTTTCCTTTCTAGCCCCCAAATGAGTAACCTTGATGTTTTACCTACACTTAAATCCCCAAACAAACATGAAGAGACCACAGAGGAAATCCTGCCCTGGGCATAGAATCACACAGAATTCATCACCCCACACAGCCCTGGGTTTGGTATCCTGTCTTTAAAGTTCCCCAGTAACCAGGTGAGATGGATTCTTTCCTGCATCTTTAGAACCCTTAGGAGTCTGCTGATGGCTTCAGGACTTTGTCTGTCCCTTTGCACCACTATGATGCAGATGTCAGCACAAGCACAGGACAATTTTCTCTGCCTTAGCCCATTTCCTCCAGGAAAACCATGACTATGTGAAGCTGACATCCTCCTCTGAAGAAACAGGCAAACCACGTGGAAAATTGGAAGCTTTACAGCCATGACAGTTACTGTCAGCTTCAGCTGTATGAGTTCCAGCCCAGCACAGTCTAACATGCTGTGAAGAACCCAAAACTGCAGCAATTGAATGGGAACATACTGGATTCATCCTGACACATCTCCAGCAGCCAGGGTGGGAGCCAGCTGCCTCACTCAACACCACACTGTGTACATTGCTCTGGTCTCACCAGGGACTAGCACTGTTTTAAAATAAAACTTTGGGAAATTAAAGAGTCTATTCCAGTCCCTTCTAAACTTTAGAAAAGAAAACAAAAACCCCACTCTATGCAAATGAAAATATAAAAAAAAAATATAGCCTTTTGAACCCTCTAGAGCTGGACAGAGGGTCTAACACAGCTGGACCACATTCCTGCACAGGATGCTTCCTCCCCTCCACCCCAGGCTTCCCAGGTCTCCTGCAGCACACAGACCCAAATTCCCAGCACAGGTCTCTGCAAAATCCATCTCACAGATTACATCATGTCACTAAAGTTCATGTTTTCAAATTACATACACCTCAAATCTTGTCACTATGCATTTGAGATAGTTTTTACCAAGTAAAATCAGAGTGGTTTGCAGAAGCAATGTGGTTCTCATATACATAAGTGATGGAGAACTCCCAAGTTTTTTTGTTTTTCCCCAAAAGAAGATTCAAAGATATTTAAGTCATCATTTCTGCTGTGAATCAATAGTTTAAGCATCCAACTGAAAACACCAACTTTGTTTTGATTTCAATTTTTGATGCTACAGTAATGACTCTAAAGAGTGCCCAGGTTCCAGTATTTTCTGTGCCAAACCTATGCTTTAGGGCTTTCTTTTAAAGCAATAGTAACAGTTTCCTGCATATCAAACAAAACCACATCATTTGAAAGAAAAAATTTCCTCAGTGGAAAATTTTAACCACTTCTACTCCATTAAGAATAAATTTATTTCTGACATAAAAGGCCAGATCACACTTCTTTTGTCACACAGGCTTTTCAGTGCCTTTCTTCTCAGCCCAGCTCCTCCCAAGCCAGGCAGTCCCAGCAGCTCCTGTTGGTACTTTTGTTTCAGATTTTGAATTAGTTAAATAGAAGTCTTACTTTTAATTTGTTCTGGTTTTGTTTTTTTGGGGTATGTTTTTATGTGGACTAATTTTCACATCTCTCCAACATACATATTTTTCTGCAATATAAAACAACAGAAAAGCCTGAATTTTATCAGCTGATTTGAGCAGCCATAAAGCTGATGGCACAAATGAGTACACTCCTGTATGAAAAACCATCTCAACTTCCAGATGGGCCATTTATGAAATATCAGATAATGTTGTGTAAATTGAAAAGCATGAGGTAAGCCATAAAAAAACCCCAAAAAGGTGTTTTCTGGAACTGCAGCATCTGGAATGTACTGACACAAGTTAACACAGAGTTTCCCTCCCATCCTAAGGGCACCACACAACTGCACTGCCAGTTTCACCCAGAGCTCCTGAACCAAGCCACAGGAAAAACAGTGGAAAACCTGGAAATGGGGACTGGAATTTTAAAGCTCTTATCTTAATGTCAAGGTCTAGGACTTGGAAGAATCAGGAATCAACATAAAGAATGACTAAGCCCATTTCTTGGATTTTTAAACTTAAAATAAGTCTGCCAATCTTAAATGACAAACTGATAGAAAATCACCCTCATTAATGGCAGGACTCTGAGGTCATTCTGCTTCTTTCTGCCATGATATTTAAACATTGTCTTCTAACAGTGAACATCTACAGCTGAAAACTGCTATTTCTGCCACCTCCTTATCTTCTGAATTATCAATCATGTTTCACAATTCTAACACTTTTATTCATATTAAAGCTTTTTTTCTTATACAGCAATGATTCCTCTTAAATACCTGTTTTTCTACCATAGCTACATTTTTTCTACTGTGAATTTTTCTTGGTAATGAAAAGCAGAATCATATATATATATATACACATTTTTTGACCTCTTACTATTTGTTATTTAAAAGAATGACTATTTACAATTATTACAGAGGCTGAACAAAATAAATGGAAAAATTCTCACCCAGAATCTTTTTGAACTCTTGCAGCTTGAGTAACCTTAAACATTGAGGTCATATTTAATATATTTGATATAATCAAACATGGGAAAAATGTCATGCCCTACTGGATACCAAGAGAATCTTATCTCTCTAAAGCAGGAGACCTTTTCACCAGTTTAGAGCAGTAATTTTCTTTGATTTTGTAATGGGAAGATTAGTATTTTAAAATACAGGATTTTCCCAGTGATTTGCTTTGAGTTGTTATTATTAAAACACAGACACATTTGCCTGCCAGTCTCTGTCCCTCGGTTTGTCCCCAGCCCAGCTCTGCAGAACACCTCTGACAAATTAAATGCCCCAACCCCAGCACTGCTGTGCCCCACAAGTGCCACAAACACTCTCCAAAGCAGAACTGGAGTTTGCTCTGTTGGAGTCAGAGGCACAGAGAGTGTGCCCTTATCTCTGAAACCTGGCTCTGACATCCAAGAAAACACTGAATTTCATATAACATCCTGAAAACAACTCTTAAGGTTAAATAGAAAAGCTAGGAATGTAAATGTGTCAATTAGAAAGTTTCTTATGTCACTGGGTGAAAAAGTTAAAGTCTGGAGTTTAAAGTAGTTTAGAGAACAGAAGATAAGATGGAGGATAGAGAATGCTGCAGTGCAGCTCACAGGTGTTGGGTCATTGGGCCACTAAGAAAAATAATTTAGTTAGCACCTGTTAATTGGGTAAATGGACATATAAAAGACCTTGAAGAAGTTCTTTGTTAGCCATTTTGCACTTTTCTATCTTAGTGCACACAGCTCCTTGTACCCTGTATACATGTAAATAAAATGATGTATACATGTAGATAAAAGAAGAATAAACAACCAAGTCCAATCTTGGGTCTCTCTCATGTGCCTCTCTCTCATCAATCTCAGCCCAGGGGGAAAAAGAACCCAGCCACGAATGTCCTATCAAGACATGCTCCAGTTCAGGTTCCAGCTGCCAAGTTTGAAGCAAAGTGAGAGAAATGAGAAACTGAATTATGGGGAAATCAGATTTGTGTTTTCAGAGCTGTGTGTTCCCCAGGAGCTCTCACTTGCTCAGGGTCAGAGATATCCCTGTATCACTTGATCACCCACAGTAAAAGAAACCAACCAGTATCATTTGTGATTTTATGCTGTCCAAGCATCAACCAGAGTTTATTACAGAAACACAGAATCCTCTCCTTGGGGTGGCTGTCACCTGCTACTAGAGTATTGTTGTAAAACATTAATTTCCAGTGCTCAAAAGCTGAGTGGGAGCCTGTATGATAAAATGCAAGTCAGGGCTCATGCCTCATTGCCACTGCCTTTATCCTACTGAACAAAATCAGACAAGAGAGCAAATCACCTCTGATTTTGCCTTCTTTTAAATATTCTCTCCCTTATGGAATATGTTTCCTATTATGAGCATTTTGCTGGTAGCAGAGTTCAGCAATACATAAACAAACGAAGGGATTATTAGTTCATTTTCCTACAGGAATATGTTGGCTTTCACTTCTCTCTCATCTTGAATCTACTGAAAAGTTCTGTTTAAATTAATTTCCTACAAGTCTTCTGAAATCTGGCAGTTAGAGAAGCTGACCCTTACTAGATAGCAGATTCCTCTGAGGAGAACAGCATTATGAATTCCTCAGGGGCAGGAAAACCTCCTGTCAGACTTCACACTCAGGCATCAAAAATTCAGCCACAGAATTTCAATCCATAAAAAAGAAGGTTCTGTGTGTTCTGTCTGTGGCAGATGAGATCCTTTCAGGTACCAACACTGGGCACAGGGAGGGGACAAATTCTGCAGCACTTATTCAAATGAATCAAATTCTACCCCAGATAAAAGTACAAATGATGAGAATTTGGGAGTGTTGATCTATAACAGCATTAAGAAAGAGTGGAGAGATGACCTGTCC